ACTGTAGCTGTCTTCAGACACACCAGAAGAGGGCTTACAGATGGTTGTGAGCCACCATGTGGTTGCTGGGGATTAACTCAGGACCTCTGGTAGAGCTGTGAGTGCTCTTAACCACTAAGCCATCTCTCCAGCACGAACAGTCATTTCTTAAAGTCCATAGCACAATATATACATATGAAGAACTAAGAGAAAAATGCCAACTGGACTACAAATGCTGTATGTTCCTTATGCTTTATCTGTCATTTAATCTTTAATTGCAACAAGCTTTTACATTAAAAATAAAAAGTAACAGTACTGCAAGTTATTAATATTAAGCCTAAAGTAGGTACCATCCCTACTGAAATGACATTACACACCCTCCTCCTACTTAATATTACTAAATTAAATTGATGAATGGTCTATTTTTGAAGCTAGAGGAAATGTACAAAACTTCCAATTCTAAGCCTAATTTAAACATAGTAAACTACTACTCAACTGAAAAGACCAAAACACTTAACACAATATACAAACAGGTACTCTTGATAGTCCAGTTAAACTCAAATGATTTTCCTTTTAAAGTTTAGAAAAATAAATAAATAAAAGACTCCAGAGACGGCTCAATGGTTAATACTTGCTGCTCTTCCAAATGGCTGGATTTTGGTTAATCAGCTCACACATAAGGCAGTTCACAACTATTTGTAACTCTGTATTTTCAAAATACTGATTCAAAACAGATTCAAATAGAAAAATGAAAAATCAGTAGGTCAACTAATCACTGCTGAACCAACAAATATTTAGTAGTAATTCAAAAAACCTGCCCTCCTAGAACCAAAATTAACAATTACCTGCTCAGTTCTGTTCTATTTAGGCAAAACAATACCTGTCTGGTCACTTATTAGTGCTCAACTGCAAAAATTCAAGCTGATGTACTTTATTAAATTCAGTGTAATTGCAAACATGTAAAATGGTATTTAGTTTATCTGTATCACTTATACATAAGAAAGAAAGAAAAGAAAGGGAGAAAGAGAAATAAGAGACGGAAGGAAGGAGGGAGGGAGCAAAAAGCCTAGGTGGTGAACACACCTTTAATCCCAATAGAGGCAGAAAGATCTTTTGAGTTTCAGGACAACAACAAAGAAACCCTGTCTCAAGGGGAAAACAAAAACAAAATATAAAGCTGGGAGAAGTGACACATACCTTTAATCCTTGTTCAGGAGGCAGAGGCAGGCCAGTCTCTGAAGCCAGCCAGGTCTACAAAGCCAGAGCTACAGAAAGAGACCCTTTCTTTAAGAAAGAAAAATATCAGCTAGAAGGATGGCTCAGGTCTAACAAGCCTTTAATCCTAGCACTTTAGAGGCAGAGTCCTGTGGATTTGTGAAACCAGCCTTGGTCAACAGTGAAATACTGCCTCAAAAAAATAAATATGGCTGAAAATACAGTTCAGTGGTAGCATATACAAAACCTGGATTTCAACTCCAGTAATACTAAAAAAGGAATTTTTTGCAGGTCTAGTCTGAGCAATGAAATCCCTGGCTCTAAGAAACAAAAATCTACACAAAAAGCCACCAACTAACCACCTACTGGAACAAGATCATCTCAATGTCTTCCTAATATCACAAACTACAAGACACTGTGACTTTCTATAGTAGGCCCTAGAGAACAGATGACACAGAAAATGACACCAAAACTACCCAACTATCCTCACAGAATTTAACATATATAATTAAACACACCGTAAGAACTTAATAGGCATCTCTTCTGCTCTACTTTCAGCTTCTAAACGTTTATTTCCAAGGAGACCTGGAGAACAAGTCAAAACAATCTTACCTGCCAAGATTCCAAAAATGCTTCATAAATCAGAAGCTATAATAGATAGTGTATGCCTTTAAATAAAATCTTTGAAGAAACTTCAACCTCAGCCACCCCTTCTTGCCCTCTACCTTCTACAAGGTGTATCTTGTAGCCTTAGTTGTCCTTAAGTGGCTATGTTGACAAGGTTGGCCTGGATTACAGATCAATCTGCTAGGTGTGACTCAACACCTAACTCCTTTAAAAAAAAAAAAAGCAATAGCCGGGCAGTGGTGGTGCGCACCTTTAATCCCAGCACTTGGGAGGCAGAGGCAGGCAGATTTCTGAGTTCAAGGCCAGCCTGGTCTACAGAGTGAGTTCCAGGACAGCCAGAGCTACACAGAGAAACCCTGTCTCAAAAAAACCTTAAAAAAAAAAAAGTCCATGTCTTTTAGTTTGCAGATCAAGAAAGGCAAATCACTGGGGGAAATCCCAAGGTCCTAACCCTAAAGAGCTTCAGGAAATTAGTGGACACTGAGAAGAATCAGTCTTTGCTAGGAAAGGAGGAAAGTGCCTCAATCCCAAATAGCCAGCCCTAAACAAATATGAGATTTAAGCATGCTATATTCTTACATGTGTGTAAGATTATATGGATAAAAATAATAAAGAGGTTGTGAATTTGGGGACACAGCATAAGTTTGAAGAGAGGAGTGAGTGATGTGAAAATACTGTCACATTACTGTGTATGAAATTATCAAAAACCTTTTTAAATTTATAAAAGGCTGGGCTCTGAAGATGGCTCAGCAGTTAGAATCACCTCCTGCTCCCTAAGTTAGATTCCCAGAATCCACATTGAACAGTTCACAACTGCCTGTACCTCCAGAAGACCCAATATCCCCTTAGTACCCAAAAGCTCAAGTGTATACCAACATAGACAATCAGACAGACACACACTTACATACAAAAATTCTTGATGAGGGGAAAAAAACTGAGTTGGAAATAAGGCTAGTGGTTAAGAAGGGTATTCTTCCAAGTTTGGTTCCCAGCACCTACATGGTGGCTCACAGACATCTCTGTAACTGCAGATCCAGAGGATGACACACTCTTCTAAAATTTACAGGCACTGGTGTGGTACAAAAAGAAAAGCAGACCAAAAATTCAAACACATAAATTCATCTTCTTAAAAGATAAAGTCACAGTTATTCTTCTCTAAGTCAAGTTTCTTCTAGAGAAAATGTAATTCTTCATCCCTACAATCTGATGGGCTCCCTCTTTCCTACAGATGAAAAGTCATTACCAAAATTAACCAGTATTTAATTAAAAAATACTAGAACTCAGAAAGCAAGAGGCAGGCAGGTATTTGAGTTCAAGGCCAGCCTCATCTACATAGCTAGTTCCAGGATAGCCAGGACCACACAGATTGTCTCTAAAAACAAATTACCACCTGCAGTATGTACTAGATGTTTATACTCAAAGGAGTAGAAATGAGATGAAAGGATGCAAATCAAAACTACTGCTTTCTCTTGGTGTGGTGGAGGATGCCTTCAATCCCAGCACTCCAGAGGCAGAGGCAGGTGGGTCGCTTGAGTTCCAGACCAGTCCAGTCTACAAAACCAGTTCCAGGATAGCCACGGTTACACAAAAAACCCTGTCTCCAAAAAAAAAAAAATGCTATTCAGCAATTTAATTTTCCAAGTGAGGAATCTGCCATGGCACAAGTATGGAGGTCAGAGGACCACTTATGGGAGTCAGTTCTCTCCTTTGACCTTGTGGTAATCAGGAATTGGAAATCAGGTCATAGGGCTTGGAAGCTCAAGCTTGTGTCTTTGCCTACTGAAAGCCATCTCTACCAGCTCTAAAGAATTCTGTTGGCAGGGTTAGGATACCAAGTGGGGGTGGTTGGGTTTGTGGTTTTTTTCAAGACAGGGTTTCTCTGTGTAGCCCTAGCTATCCCTACAACTTGCTCTGTAGACCAGGCTGTCCTCAACTCAGAAATCCTCCTGCCTCTGCCTTCCAAGTGCTGATAAGATTATACTACCATTGCCATGTCAGAAAATACATTTTATGCAAGTTCTTAATTCCCTGCCTGGCATGTATTAAGAGCAAGAAGACTCAACCCTTAGTAGTTAGGGAACAAAGATTTAAAGGTAACACCACAGCCTAACAGCAAATTCTTAAAATAAAAGTTAGTTATATTCAGTCGTTAGCCCGAAACTTGAAGTATATCTGATTCCTTCTTATTTATGAACAAGCAACTATCTTACTTCAGACTTTCCAAATAACTAGAACAAATACAGTCCACCAAGCCTACTACTGGTTCCTTTACATGACTTTACTACTACAGAAGACAAAAAAAACAAAAGAAAAAACAAAAAACAAACAAACAAACAAAACACCAAAAAACAAAAAAGCTAGTCTTAGCCAGGCAGTGGTGGTGCAGGCCTTTAATCCCAGCACTTGGGAGGCAGAGGCAGGCAGATTTCTGAGTTCAAGGCCAGCCTGGTCTACAGAGTGAGTTCCAGGACAGCCAGGGCTAGAGAAACCCTGTGTCGAAAAACAAAACAAAAACACTGGTCTTCTCAAGGCTGATCAATCCACGTGCCATTACTTTTTAATAAACCACTTAGCATTTTTTTCCAAGGGAGGAAAGTTTGATGTTTCTCTTTTCTGACTCTTCAAAAAGATTGCCCAATTCATTATAAGCAATTAAAACCATGAAATGTTTTGCCAATAAAGTAGTATATATTTCAAGAAGCCAAGAAAGGGAGGTCAAATTTGGTGGCATACACAGGCAATCCCAGAAGCAACTGGGATGTAGAGGATCAGGATTTAAAACCCATTTGGGTAATATAAGACCTTGACTCTATCACTTAAAAAAAAAAAACTGTGAGACCCCACACGAACAAATTAAGGTTATCCTTTAAGCAACATGAAAACCCTTTGTCTAATTATGTGATCAATTATGCCTTTCTTTATCATTTTTATGTTGGAAAACTACATACATTCTTCTAAACTTTATAATTTCCAAAAACCTCAAATCAACTAACAATTAACTGATACTAATTCTTACCCAGTCATTCATAATATAGAATATCAAATATATATGTACACGCACATACGTGCGCACGTGCACACACACACATACATACATATACATACACACAGACACACACAGACACACACACACAGTTATCAGCACATTGGAATCTTTGAAAAAGAAACAAATGAGTTACCTTTAGTGTGATATACAATAGCAGCCCTCAGGTCAAAAGAACCCCAGCTATCATTCCTTTCTAGGCCTCTCTGGTATCTCTGTTCTTTGGCGGAGCCTAACAAAGTGTTCGTAGGAGAGGCCAGAGGATTTTGATTTTCTATTTCGTAGTCCTTTGAGAGAAACACTAAAGCACCTTGACTACTGGTGTCTGCTTTTTGCAGGTCACCTATATGACTGGGTTCCAAGGATAAGGCTCCACTCTCAGTAGTCCCAGGTTTTAGAATGTTACCCAGAACTTGAGGACTAGTCCGTTTTTCCAGCTCATAAGCCTTGGGAAACACAGGATGCTCAGTTCCTGAGGGAATTATTTCAGCACCCTGTGAAACCAAAGTGGCAGGATATTCTCCTTGAAATGTCACTTCCATCACTTTATGATCTGATGACTTTCCAATAACTGTCTCTGGGCCAGCACTGGGTTCATTTATAAATGATAAACCCCACTGATTCTGGAATATATCCCCCAGGTTTTGCTGATCTGTTTGGGAGGGCAGATCTACTTGTGCACTTAACAGCACTGTTTGCATATTTGAAGGGTAGATAAAAAGGCTAGACTTAATTTGTTCAACAGCTGCTGAAGTCAGACTCATGTCCTGAAGAACTGAATCAGTCCCAGTAGAGATGGATGTTAAAGTATTAGCAGCAGTAGTTAGCAGTGGCTGACCCCCAGATGGATACACACTTCCATCAGTTCCTGCTAAAACAGGCCCATTAGAAAAATTGGCAGAAGTAACAGATTTCAGAGCTGACATGGGGACCTGGGATAATCGACTTGAAGACTGGGTCTGAGTTTCCCCAGTAGATGATGATGATGAAGAAGATGAAGATGGTGACACAGAAGAGTTCTGTACAGTTTTGTTGAGGTTTTCCTTAACTTTGCTTGCATAACTTATTTTAGGAACTATTTTTGCACTGCTATTGTCCACTGGAAAAACTGGGGGTGGCTTAAACAAGGTCCATGAGTCCTCTTTGGAGGCAGCAGCTGAGGCATGCTTTCCTTTAGGCCGATCATCAAATTTTTTGCTACTCAAACCAGGTTTAATATCTGAGCTTTTACGAAGCATGTCACCCATAGCAGGTTTTCCACGACTTGTTCCTCCAGGTCCAGTTTCATATTTCCAAATAGGCTTCGAACCATCTACTCGAGTTCCCTTTTGTTCACTATAGTCAGGCTTTAAAGTTTCAAGTCCCTGTTTTAACGCTGGGACACTAGTCTCTTGCATTATCTTGTCCTGCACTAAATTAAGGTTCTCACAACCCTTGGCACTATTGCGCCTAGCTTTCCTTTTTTTAGGAGTAGTATATCCACTCTCAGATCCACTACCATCATTATCTGCTCCTTTGCTCATATAACCATTAGCAATATAGCCTGAACTATTTGTTATAACACCATTTGGAATTGCTATAGTATCGGTCTTATCTATAGCCTGGGTCTCTCCAGATTTATTTTCATAAGATTTCCCATTCTTTTTGTCCATACTGTTTTTCTGAATAAAATTCTTGGTTTTGATTCCTGCTTTTCCAAAGGTGCTGGTCTTTACAGTCTGCTTCAGGCTCGTGTCTACAACTTGCTGGTTGCCATTGAGGACCCTGGAAATAGGGTTGGTAGCTTCATCAGAACTGAGGCTCTTTAAAGATATTTCTCTTTCTCCAGCATTACCATTTATTTCACCATAGCCTATAGAAGGAAAGCAAAAACAAACAAAACACATACATTTAAATCACAGTAGTACTAAGACTGAACACCTTTATTGAACTCCAAATACTAAGCTGTAGGGTTTGTCATACTACATCTCTACGTAAGGAAACTTGTAAGCCCATTTTACAGATTATGACATATGGTTCAATGCCAGGCAGAACTAGGACAACTCACATCAGGTCCATCTACTGGGCCAGCAGCCAGAATTAACTAGAAAAATCAGGACCTTTCAAGCAGCATGCCATAATATTCCTCTAAATTATCTAAACAGAATAAACCTTATGAATTACACCAATGAGGTGGTTTTAAAAACTGAAGCAAGATGATTGTTGCATGTTTGAAGCGACCCTGAGCTACAGAGTGGAACCTTATCTCAAACACCCACTATTTAGAACCAGTGCTACTTCATAAACTGTAAAACGAAAATAAAAATAAGGCCATGAACTTTGCCTCCTTTGCATGACCACTGAATTCAATCCCTAGTACTACCCCCACCCCCAAAAAAGATATTAAGGGCTCTGAGTGACTAGTTGCCAGTGTCTATCAGACAAAGCCATAAGGCCTGTGGACTTTCCCAAAGTAGTCACATTTAACTCCACATAAGAGCATACCATAACACATGAAACAAAAATATGTACCAAATCTTTTTCTAACCCTTATTAAAACTCATTCTCTTATTTTCGCTTACTTTCAGCTTCTACTTGGGTTAAAGGACCAGGAAAGAAAAAGTTAACAAGCAGATCAAGGAGTAGCAGAACTAGAAATCTTGTCTAGAAACCAAAGCTTTCTACCTGCTTGCAACACTTACGTGCTAACAAGACTACAATGAAATGAATCTAATATTCTAAAGCAGTCAAGTATTTGAACACAGACTTTACTCTTTACAGCTAACATTGTTTTGAAAACAAGTTTTTCTGTGTATCCCTGACTGTTCTAGAACTGTCACTGAGCTCAGAGACCTACCTGCCTTTGCCTCTGCCTCCCAAGTGCTGGGATTAAAGGCATGCGCAACCACTGCCCAGCTTACAGTTAGTTAACTCTTATTGGAAGTGGTTTACTGGGTCAATCACAGCTCTTTCTACTAATAAAAATGGCAATTGGCTACCAATTGTTTTATGACCTCAAAAGACCTTGGGAAACCCTCAATTCTAACAGTAATCAAACAGCAAATACATTTTCTTCTGTATGAACTTCCAGAAAATAAAAAAACATAGTTTTGTAAAAACCAACTACAGACAATACTCTTTTTGCTTGTTTTTTTGACACAGGATTTCTGTGTAGCCCTAACCATCCTGAAACTCACTGAGATTTGCCTGCCTCTGCCTCCCAATACTGGGTTTAAAGGTGTGGGCAGCCACTGCCCTGCATCAGAAATACATACATACTGGCATGTATCACATTCAAGGCCCAACCCTTAGTAATTAGGAAAAAATAACTTCCTTATTTCCAACATTACATTACCATTTTTCATTTTCTAAAAACTATGATAGCCAATCAGACTTCCTATGTTGCTGTGAGCTGAGCTTGTCATACTAGGCAGGTCTTCTACTACTAAGCAGTAAGGTCTCATATAAAAGCTCTCATGGAGCTGATGTGGTGGGATATGACTTCAATCCTAACACTGAGGATACAGAAGAGGAAAATCTGAGTTTGAAGCCAGCCTACATGATAAATTCCAGGCCAGTCAGGGCTACTAAGACACTGTCTCAAATGATTTTTTTTTCCCTCAGAAAGAGGCTATGAGACAAAATGGTTGTTTTCTATAACATATTCTTTAAAAATGCAAAATGTTAATTAAGCCAGGTCTAGTGACATGTACCCCTGCAATTTTGTCTCAAACAAAAACAAAAATTAGGGGCAGGGAGATCCAAATCAATAGATTTGCCTGGACCAAAGGCAACCAAGAGAAGAACTACTTTACTATTTAATATAAGTTAAGCAATATCTGTATCTTCTGCCTCATTAATCTTAATTTTACATATTTAAACTAAAGGTGGGCAATGTTACATGTAATAATAATAATTGAAGTTAAAAAAAGCTGAATCACAACACAGAATTTTAAGTAAACTAGAACATTCTACCTAAGTTTACTAGTAGCTCAGATACCAGAAATAAATCACGGGGGGGGGGGGGGGGGGGGGAGTTCAGATAGCAAATGGTGGCCCACACTAATTCCAGCTTCCTAGGAGGGTAAGGCACCAGAATTAAAAATTAAAATATAAAGGGCTGAGTTGGGCTGGAGAAATGGTTCAGCAGTTCAGAGCACTGACTCTTCTTCCTTAAGTCCTGACTTCAGTTCCCAGCAACTACATGGTGGCTCACAACCATCTCTGAATCCAATGGCCTTTTCCGGTGTGCCTTAAGATAGCTACAGTGTACTCATACACATTGTCTATCTACTATACCAAGGGTCCTAGGTTCAATTCTAAGTTACAAAACGCAACCTACTATGCAGCTTTTAATAAATCTCACAAATACATAGTTGTCTCCCTGTGGAGTATAAAAAGCATCTTTTAAAGCTTAGATATTTAAGAAAAATATGAAGATGGCAGTTGTTACAGAGACAAATTAAAAAATCCCTGTGTCTTTATTACTTAGGGCTGCCGTGATAACTCCACGACAAATGGACTCAGCAAAACCTGATCCCCAATACATCCAGCTTTTGGATTGGACGTTGCAATTACTCAACATGTTTCCTGTGCCCTCTCTTCTGGATCCAGAAAACCAATTTCTCATAGGTTTAGGAGTAATGGTTCATAAAAACCCATTAAGTATGTCCCAAACATTTTCTAGATTTCTTAGCACTGTGCCCAACGACCAAACCACATATGGAAAAGCAGTTCAGCCCAACTATTAATATTCTCTCAATTTTCTAAACTGAGTTCCCCTCATTCTTCATCCCAGTTTAAGACAATTTTGGGGAGGGCCACCTCCAACTAATGGTTCAGGGTCTGCATCTCTATGCAGTGATGAGTCCTATGGAGAATATATAAACCTCGTAAAAGACAAATTCTAAATCTATGAACAGTACCATTTGACAACCTTGATACTACTGTCTCACCTTCTGAAAACCAAAACTAATACAGTTACATAACTCCTAAGTTTCTAGGCTGCTGTAAATCCTTACAATTAAACACTTCTGCTCTATCATCAGTCCCTACCATCCTACAAAATCAAATCTGATATCTATCCAGCTCTGTCTTCAAAGTTACATTGTCTACAGTAAGATTTTCACCAGTAACTACTTATATTATGTGACAGGCTAAGTTTAACATTTTTTCTAAGCATTCTTTTCAGTTAAAAATCTGTGAATATATAAACTTTGATGCTTAGTTTTTAAGTATCACAAGACTCCACATTTAATATGTTAAATAACACTCAGTTTGGGGATGAAAGTCTGTTTTAAAACGCACCAAACTCTTTAACCACTATTAAAAGGTCTTGTCCAAGGTAAGGGGTTAGTGACAACTTCATAGACAAGTCACTTCCAGTTCATTGCTAAAGAAACAGGGGACCCCAAACTGCCGGTGTTGTCCATCCAGTCGAGCATCTGATTAATCCCTCCCACAAAGTCACTACCCCAGCTGAGAAGTTTAGGTATTGAGTGGAAAACGAATGGAACAAGGTTTGAGAGGTTGTTTCTCCCCCCCACCATTTTTTTTTTTTTTTGGTAGGAAATGCGCTGCTCTAAAGAAAAAAGGCCTAAGTGAAAAAGCCTTTGAGGCGGAGTCGTGAGCAAACCTGGCAGGAGATGAGATTCCTGTGGCAGAGAAACTCGTGACCCGGGAGCTTGGTTCCCGCTGGGTACCCCACCCGGCCTCAGGCACCGCCTCTACCCAAAAAGAATCCCCTCGCCCCTCGCAGGCCGGTGGAGCGCTGCGGCCGCCGCCCGGGTCTCCTTCCCCCTCAAGCTCCTCTTCGAGGCCCGCTCCCCGCCCGGCCGCCCGCGCCTCCCGCCGCACCCGGGAGCGGGAAACGCGGCCGTCGGCGCGCGGGTCCACGGTGCAGGCCGCTCCCCTCGTGGCCGCTTCCCTCCCCCACCTCAACCGCCCCCGCCCCTCACCCCAGGGACCCGCCCGGGGCCGCGCGGCCGCCACCGGGTTACACAACCCGGCGGGGGGAGGGGCGGCGGGCGGCGGCCGCCCGCAGTGCGGGGGACCCGGAAAAGGGCCGCAGAGGGTCCCGGGGCAGCGGTGCCAGCGTGCCGTGTGGCCTTCGGCACCCTTCCCCCTCCGCTCCTCAGCCGGCCGGAGTCGGTGACAGGAATCGGCTTCCAACATGGCGGACAGGAAGCGGCCCCGCGAGGAGAGAACATTCCAGCCTCGTCGGCTCGCAGGCGAGCGGGCCAGGGGCGCCAGTCTTCGGAGGTGCCTCGCGTACAGACAGCGGGGTCCGGCGCCCAAGATAGGCGTTTAGGGGTAGAAATGACCCGAGGGACGATGGGGTCCCAGCCTCCCTCCCACCCAGGCGGCAAACCCCAAGGCCACAGGTGGGCTTGGGGTGGCGGGTGAGGGAGGACGCTTCCTCAACTCAGCCCTCAGCCCGGCTCCTCGCCGCCTGCAAGCGGGTCTCGCGACACCACCCGAATCGGGATTCACTAGGCCTGAATTACATACACCTCGAGGGAATTTTTTTTTTTTTTTTGGGCGGCCGAGTTTCACCCCTTCTTAGGGCCCCCACATCCAGGGCCGCACTAGAGGGGAAAAATAAGGCTGGACTTCCAAGGCCGACCGTACAGGTCTGCTCCGGCCGGGGCGGGGGCCGAGGAAGGTCACGCTGGCCTGGCTGGGCCTCTCCCATGCTAAAGGGAAGGAGAGGGCGCTGCAATCCCCACCTCGCGGCCCGCGCCCGGGAAGAATGGAAGGGGGCATCCCCGGCCCGGCGGGACGCACACCCCGACCGGGTCCGCGCTTTTCACATCTAGCCCCACCCCCATCCCTCCCCCCAACCCAGTCCCCTTCCCCCACCGCCCTCCCTCTCAGACCTGTTTTCTTCTTCGGCGTTTCCTGGTGCTGCTGGAGGGTGTGTTTCTGCTCATGTTTCAGCGGCTTGGGCTGGGCCTTGGGGCTGCCCTCGGCTCCATGCTGCAGGTATTGGTGAGGCTGCTGGTGATGGTGGTGGTGGTGGTGGTTGTGGCTGTGGTTGTAGAAATAATAATGGTGGTGGTGGTGCGACTGCTGCTGCTGCTGCTGCTGGGGGTGATGGTGCGGATGGTGGTGGCTGTGATGGTGCTGAGGCTGTGGCTGGCCGGGCTTCTCCTCCATTGAAAGCGGCTGGGACTCCCTGGCTGAGGCTGCGGGCTGCTGCACCGTCAGGATCTGAGACTGCTTCTCCGCGCTCGCTCAGTATATCTGAGTTCGTCTCGCCAGCGCACTGGTTAAGCGAGCGGATCTAAGAGATTGGCAGCAGCGCTCCAGCAATCAGGAGCCACGCTGCGCGTCAAGCCCCGCCCCTAGCCCAAATCCTCTTCCCTTCCCCTTCGCCACCGCCGCCTGGCCAACGCCACTTACCCTATGCAACCTCACAGGGCCGGGCCTTCAACGTCAGCATTATGGCTCTCTCTTCTATCGCTTTCTCTCCTTCACCACGCAGTTAGCGAACAGCACTTTCTACACTCCTCACAGCGAGCAAGCTGATGTCGAGTGTAGCAGATTCCACTGAAGATTCTACAGGCGCTAGGAGCCATCTGTTGGTTTTGCACCTCCTAGAACGTGGTGTGTGTGTGTGTGTGTGTGTGTGTGTGTGTGTGTGTGTGTGTGTGTGTTTAATTCTTTTCCGGGTAGCCAGAGGGGGAAGCTCAATTTCTTTAACCCTATAAACCACAAAAGGGGCAATACAAAACAGAGGAAATAAATACATTTTTAAGAATACAAGAGCTTCACAACTCGATAGATCGTTTTGTATTCTGGACTCATTTTGCTTTGTATTCATATGCTAATCTCTTCCTTTCCACGGAGGGATTATAGGGTTCCACAATAGGGTATCTGTGTAATTTTCTAAAAGGGCACAAAGGGCTTAAATCATTGTTTCTTTGTAGTTGAAGGCAAGAGAGAGGGAAGAATGAAAAAAATCTACACTGAAGTTTTTTTGTTTTTTTGTTAACTAAACACTGCAGGTGAGGTCAACTATGGAACCAAAATAGGTTTTAGAATAAGACTTTCAAAAGTGAAGGAAAGGAGAAAGGAAATCTTTAAAAGTTCTTAAGGTTTTGGTTTTTTACATATTTTTTGTTTTAAATTTAAAGAAAACATAGAAATTTAAAGGTGTATTTGCATTTTATGCTGTTAATTTAACCTGTTATGATAGGAAGGAAGAAGGTTGTGATAAGGACAGACACAGTACCCTCGAAATATATTTGGGGGGGAGGCATTGGCTGGAAGTTTTGTTTATTTGACTTGGATTGGTTGGTTTTTGAAACAGACTATGTAACCCTGATTGGCTTGGAACTACCTATGTAGAAGTATCTGGCCAAATAAGAGATTCCCACTGTTTCTACCTCATGAGTGCTGAGATTAAAGTTCTACACACCAGCGTATCCAGCCAATGTGCTATTACATGAATACTTGCTTTATAAGTCATTAAATTAGATATACATTTGTCTATGCAATACAAGGGAAATTTTAAATGTAAAGTTTACCATCTTACTTTTGTGTTTGTTTGTTTTTGAGATAGGATCTTACTCTATTGCTGGCTGGCCTGTTATCCTTCACTTTGTAGCCCAGGCTGGCTTCACATTGTTGCAGTCCCCCTGCCTGTCCCTCACACATACTGTCACTGCAGGCATGTACCAACATACCCAGTTCCTACTTAACTATCTTGAGTACACAGTTCAGGCGATCACAGCATTCCCATTGTTCTGCAACCATAATCAGTGCATCTCTCTAGGACATACTTCTCTTGATCCCCCATACCTTTTGAATGATAAAGTCCCTAAGGCTGGAGGGATAGGTCAGCTGTTAAAAGCATTGTTTACTCTTGCAAAGTACCAGCGTTCAATGCTGAGCACTCACATAGCAGCTCATACTCATGAGTAACCCTTGTGCCAGGGCGTCCAACCCCTCTTCTGAAGTCCAAGGGCACCACACACACGCGCTACACATAATCAAGGGCACCAGGCACACACTCGGTACACATAATTAGGTGTATTCTGTATGTATGATTTTTTTTTTTTTTTTGGCTTCCTTGTGTGTATATGCCCCGTGTATATGCCCCATGCCTGCTAAAGTCAGAAGAGCATGTCAGGTCCCTTACATGTGGCATTAAGAATGGTTGTAAATCACTGTGTGGGGCTGGGAACTAAACTTGGGTCTTCTGCAAGAGCAACAAGTAGTCTTACCAGCGAGTCACCTCTCCAGCCCCGTTTGAATTATGCATTGCTGTTTGCTCAGTATTTATTGTTGTTTTGATTTTTTTTTTGAGTCAGAGTCTTTTACTGCCTAGACTAACCTCCAACTCATTTTGTAGTCAAGGATGAACTTGAACTCTTGATCCTACTACCTCCCACATGTTGGTATTTCAGGTGTGTGCTACCATAATGTCTTTAATACGTATTCATATCACATGACCTGAATAAAAAGATCTTTCCTTTTTATGACTGAGTAATATATCATGGTGAGTAGGTATGTTTTGGGAAGGTATATACAACATTTTTATTATGAATTTATTTGACAATAGGTATGTATATCTTATATCTTTTACAATGTGACTGTAGAAGTAAAGATGACAGTTGTCTAATGAGTTTGTGGCCAGCCTAGTCTACATAGCAGCTGCAGTAAGGCCAACCAGGGCTACCTAGTAAGACTCTTTAAATTAAACAAGTTTTCTTTCTTCCTTTTTTTTCCCCCCAAGATGTATTTGTTTTATATATGTGAATAAACTGTCACTGTCTTCAGACACACCAGAAGAGGGCATCAGATCCCATTACAGATGGTTGTGAGCCACCATGTGGTTGCTGGGAATTGAATTCAGGGTCTCTGGAAGAGCAGTCAGTGCTCTTAACCAGTGAGCCATCTCTCTGGTCCACAAATTTTCTTTAATTCTCTCTCCCTCCCTCCCTCCTTCCCTCCCTCCCTCCCTCCCTCCCTCCCTCCCTCCTTCCCTCCCTCCCTCCCTCTCTCTCTCTCTCTGTGTCTGTGTGTGTCTGTGTGCGTGTGAGTGCATGTAAGTGCAATGCCCTTACCCAGAACTAGAGTTATTGATAGCTGTGATCTGCTCATCTTGGAAACTAAACTCATATCCTCTACAAGAGCAAACAGTGCTTAAATACCGAGTCATCTCTCCAGCCAACAATCACTTAGTTTTGAGAGCTAAGAGCCTAGTAGTAAATTAGTAAACTATTCCCACACACTTAAACTGTAAATAGAATTCAGCATTATCTCGATCTCCTGCTACTATTTTGCTTTCTTGCTATGCTAGACTCCCTTATCTCCCTGACAGCCAAGACTACACAGAGAAACCCTACCTTGAAAAACCAAAGAAAAAAAAATTAGTCAGGCAGTGGTGGTTCATGCCTTTAATCTCTGTGCTTGGGAGGCAGAGGCAGGTAGATCTCTATGAGTTCAAGGCAAACCTGGTCTTCAGAGTTAATTCCAGGACAGCCAAGGCTACATAGAGAAACTCTGTCACAAAGGGGGAGAGTTAACTCTTACCCTAATATTTTATACTACATGTTTTTCAGAGTTGTTTGACATTTTTACTTTTTCCAGACAAGGTCTAACTATACAGCCCTGGCTTTCCTAGAACTCATTTTGTAGACCAGGCTGGCTTCAAATTCACAGAATTCTTCCTGTCTCTGCCTCCTGAGTGCTGATTAAAGAAAGGCATATGCTACCATGCCTGGTTTAACATTTTCATTTTATGATAGTCAGTGCTTAAAATGTCACAGCCTGGTCTACAGAGTGAATTCCAGGACAGCCAGGGCTACACAGAGAAACCTTGTCTCTAAAAACCAAGAAAAAAAATGTCACTTCTTATACTTATGTAGTACAAAATGACTGAAAGTTGTTTAGGGCCTTTCAGAAAAGATTGAAATTCTATCCAGCAGGAGTTTGAACCTTAGCCCCCAAATCAAGGGCCTCAGAAAAGCCTTTAATCCATCAAAATGATCTAATTTGGCTGTCCTTAAGCATACACAGACACACAGACACAGAGAGAGGGGGGGGGAGGGAAGGAGGGAGGGAGGGAGAGAGAGAGAGAGATTAGTAATTTTTTTTTTTTTTCTGAGACAGGAGCTTACTGCATAACTCTAGCTGGCCTGGAACTCCATGAGCCATCTCTTCTGCCCTATAGGTTTGTTTTAAAAACTACTGTTTCTCTTGCAAACTTGAGTGTCTTTTTTGTTTTTAATCATTAAATGAATTTCAGTTTGGGATTAGGATTTGATTTTTTTTCTTCCTTCCTACCTTCCTACCTTTCTTTCTTTCTTTCTTTCTTTCTTTCTTTCTTTCTTTCTTTCTTTCTTTCTTTTTTTTTTTTTAAATGTGTTAACTGAGCCAGGCAGTGGTGGCACACGCCTTTAATCCCAGCACTTGGAGGCAGAGGCAGGTGGATTTCTGAATTCGAGGCCAGCCTGGTCTACAGAGTGAGTTCCAGGACAGCCAGGGCTACACAGAGAAACAGAGAAACCCTGTCTCGAAAAACCAAAAAAAAAAAAAAAAAGAAAGAAATGTGTTAACTGGTGAAGCTTACCACACTCTGACATGGGGACTGATGGGGGTCAAGGCAGCAGGGATGGCTGGTGAACCCCTGGAGCCTCGGGTGGTAAAGAAGATGAAGCAGGGCAGCCATCAAGCAGAAAAGCCCCATGGCCTCAGCAAGGGCAAAGAAATGGCATAAGAGAGGAGCTCCAAGAGATAGGTTCCTGGCATAGCCAATAATCAAGACACCACACTGTTCTGGTGCCAGCCCCTGATCTAGCCACACCAACTGAGGCAGCCCTAGGACCTGGCTGTCAGTGTCCCATAAAACGACACTGGCCACTTGGAGAGTGGAGCTGCTGCAAGAAGGTTTTTTTTAGATGGGGCCTCTGGTCTACTTAGGTAGATACAGGCCAAATTGGACCCTTGCCTGGTACAGAACTGATCAGAACTGGAGAAACTAGCAGTACCTTGGTGTTCTGCATTTCCTTTCCATGTGCACTCCATCTACCCTGCAGCCTCTGCTTGGCCCACAGGCTTGCCCTGCTCTAGGACAGAATTTCTATTTTAAAATGTTCTCAGCTATATGCTGTGATGCACACCTTTAGTCCCAGCATTCAGGAGAAAAAAGCAGGTGAATCCCTGAGTCTGTGGCCAGCCTGGTCTACAGAGTGATTTTCAGGCCGGCAGACTTACCTATCTCAATAGAAAATAATAAAGACAGAAATTATGTGCCATCATGCATGAT